GCAGGGAGTGTAGAGTTGCGTGGAAACATGTCCTTCTCACACAACATCCCCAGGTCTGACATCATGAAGACTGATCTGGCCTGACTGATGCCAAAGGCTTTTCTGGGAAACCCCACAGCCGTGCCCTGCAGTTCCCGGTCACTCTGTGCAGTCCCCAGAGCTGTTGAGAAAGGACATGGCAGGCAGAGTAAAGGTGCATAATTCTCTGTCATCTAGGAGACAGGCCCAAGGAGACTGAAGGCATCATTTACTCTGCTGACTGAATGTATGGGGTCCCTGGTCTGCTTTGAAAGGGATGTGCTAGGATTTCAAAGGCAGTCCTGTAGCCTGCCTCCAACAACGATGCTGACTACTCATGCAGCAAATATCTCTGTCATTCGTGCCACCTGCAAAATAGAGTTGCTCAGTAAAATAATTTGGGATCAAAAATGTTCAGTGAAATAAATAAACTTTTTTTTCACTTTAGGGACTAGGTTTTTGTTGTTATTGTTGTTGGTGGGTTTTTTTTGTTTTGTTTTGTTTTTGTTTTTTTGGTAAAAAACAGGTAATAGCCTCCAAAGAGGGAGGGAGATGTGCTAGCTCATAGTCACCCGTCATTCATTAATCCTGATCACAAATCCTATTGTTCTGCTCCTGCTGATCAGCACGGCATTGGAGAGCCTGCTTCGGATGTGAGAGTGACTTTTTCTCCCTTGTCTTACTGCCTTTTGTAATATCCTTTTGTATGCAACTATATTGTAGCCAAATACAAGAAGGCAGGGAAACTGTCTGCCTTGTGTGTCACTGTCTTAGTTTGTGTTCCCTCAGAAGCAGACCCTGGGACAAAGATTTGTGCAAGTAATTTATCTGAGAGGTGATTCCAGGAAATAGTGGTTGGGGAGGGAGACAGAGAAGGGAAGTTAGCCAAAAACAGAAGGATTACAAAGCAAGTTACATCATAGGTAACTGGAGTCTAAGGTGAACTCTGAGAAATAGGGTATTACACAAATCTCAGAGTTATCTCACCTGAGGAGTGAAGAATTTATTTGCCAATTTTTAGCAGTCATTGGTAGAGGGCTGTTCCTATGTAACATTAATTATATGAGGAGAAAATGAACCTTAAGTCCTACTTCATTTCTTATAAACAATTTAATGAAAGAAGGGTCATGTGCCCAGATGTAAAAATTGGAACTATAACATTTCTAGAAGAAGACATAGGAAAACATGTGTACAACCTTAGGGTAGGCCAAGATTTCTTAGGACACAAAAAGCACTAAAAAAAAAAAAAGCATCTGAAAGATTAATAAATTGGACTCCATTCAGAATTAAATAATTCTGCTCTTTGCAAAACATTATTAAGAAAATGAAAAGGCAAGCCACAGAATGTATTTCATGCCTATATCTGACAAAAGACATATCCGGAATAGGTAAAGAACTTTTACAAATGAATAATGGCAAAAGATTTGAACAGACACTTCATAAAGTAAGATATACAAATGGCCAGTAAGCCATTGGAAATGGAGCTCAATATTATTCATCATCAGAGAAATGCAAATTAAAACCACAATGAGACATCACTATAAACCCACTACAGTTGCTAAACTAAAAGGACCTGACAAAGCAAATGTCAGCAAGGACAACTGGACCTCTCAGATGTTGCTGGTAGGAGTGCAAAATGGTACAAGGGTTACTGCCACACACTACTTTGCAATTTTTTTTTAAAAAAGATTTTATTTATTTATTTGACAGAGAGAGATACAGCAAGAGAGGGAACACAAGCAGGGGGAGTGGGAGAGGGAGAAGCAGGCTTCCCGCGGAGCAGGGAGCCTGATGCGGGGCTCGATCCCAGGACCCTGGGATCATGACCTGAGCCGAAGGCAGACGCTTGACGACTGAGCCACCCAGGCGCCCCACTTTGCAGTTTTTTATAGGGTAAAACATATGTCTCTCTGGAATACAGCAATTTCACTCCTAGGTATAGATTGAAGGTAAATGACAACACGTATCAACAAAAAAGACTGGTACAAAAATGTTCGTAACAGCTTTGAACAAAACACAGAAAACAACCCAAATGACCATTGACAGGTGAAGAACAAGTTACAATACAATCAAACAATAGAATGCTATTCAGCACTAAAAAGGGATGAACTACTGATACACCTCGCACCCTGGGATGAAGATAAAAGACAAAATTATACTGA